AACACCTGGACAGGTCCAAGACCACCACAGGGACACCTGGACAGGTCTCCAGTCCCCCACAGGGACACCCTGGACAGGTCTCCAGTCCACCACAGGGACACATAGAGACAGACAATCATTTTTGCTCTCACACATATCTAGGGACAATTCAGAGTTACCAGTCAGTCTAACATACACGTTGGTCTGTGGGAGGACACTGGAGTACTCAGAAAACTCACACAGCACAGAAAGAACATGCAAACTCCACCCAGAACCATCCCAGCCAGGAAGCAAACCTACAACCTTCTTGCTGTGAGACAACCAGTTTAGATTTTTTTTTCTTCTATAAGAAAATGAAGTCACTTCTATGGTTGTCCATGTTTCTTGAAATAATGATACTGTATTTGATGAGTTCTGATTAAAACTACCGGTCACGATATTAGAAAAACACAATTAAATGAGTCTTACAATGTGCGGTCGGGTCCTCTGGACGGATTCTTGTTTGTTGAAACATTTCGTCTTTTATCAGAAAGACTTCTTCCATCCAGAGGACCGGACTTACCCGTTTTGGATTCACCTGGATTGTTGAGCAGCATCAGGACATACCTGTACAGTAATGAGCTTTCTGCTCTTTTGTCTTTTCAGTGACAAGAACATTAAGCACGACACGTATCTGGTGCCCTATGCCATGTATGAGCTGGGCTTGTTGTACAGGCAGAAAGGAGACGTCCAAACAGCCATCACAGTCATTGAAAATGCTAAGTAAGTGTTTTCACTGAACCTGAGATGAGAGAAAATCCTTTTCCTCCAGTTTTTACGGTTTGTAACCACACAATGGTCGTGTGGCAGCTAACCCGTCATCTGTGCTTGCAGGTTGAACTACAGAGACTACAGCATGGAGTCGAGGCTACACTTCCGCATCCATGCAGCGCTCAACACCATGGGCTCGTTTGAAGCCAAACTTCCTCCATCGCGTACACCAGCTTGAACAACCAGGAGAACTTCATCTGACCCACATCTCATCAGCTCCCTTCAGCTCTTATTATAAATTAAATAGATCTGCCTTGTGTTAGTGGTGCACGATATTATCGGCATGGAATCGGACGATATTAGCGTTAAAGTTCAATATCGGACATCAGCCATTCCATCACAATAAATCCCCGATATAAAAGATGCTGTTTTTGTGTGACAACCCAGTGAGAAGGACGCCTGCAGCGGCAGCACAACCTGATCCTGATCTGATCACGGCGGAGAGGAAGAAGGAAAAATGTCGGCGTGTGGAAGTTTTTTTCGTTGACGATGTCAAAGTCTGAAGATTTATGGACTACGTTGAGCCTCGCTACATCGTCCCCAGTCAGAGATATTTTTCCAACGTAGCCTTACCCGAGTTACAAGCCGTCATTTCCAACGTAACAGAGAAGCTAACAGCCGGTGACTAACGCTGATAAATAACATTTAACACTTTTCATTTAATATAAGTTAAAGTGCTACATGGCTCTTACAGAATATATGTCACCAGCTGTTACAGCTGTTACACAATGTTTGTAGCAAATAAGCCTAAATAAGAGGAATGTGTTCTGACAAAGGAAAGTATATAAAAATATTGATATCGGTTATCGACCAAATAAGTTTCAACATATTGGATATCAGCCAAAAATCCAAAGTCGTGTATCCCTACTTGTGTTTTTCTGTAGCTGTTACAGGACAGACCTCCATGTTCAACTTCTGCTCTCTTTATAAACTGATCTTTAGATATTGTCATGTTAGTTCAAGGTTTAACCAAAACACATTTTTTGTGCACGTACAAATCACAGGTCCCCCAAAATAATCTGCCATGGCGGGGCACTCGTAAAACAGACCTAATAATCAATAACCCTGGGTTTGATCAATATCAAAAACCATCATAAATATAAGCAATATATGTACATGTTTTATCATCATTACTGTAGTAATATAAGTTAATACTATAAATAGAATCAAGCTCGTTATTTGAATACTCTTAAATATTCCTAATATTAAAGTTCCTAGCACTGTTGACTCACAACAAGAAGGTCCTGGGTTCAATCCTGGTTCAGTCCTGGGTTGTTTAGAAAATGATGTTTCACAGACGTTTCATAGAACTGTCAAGCATGAAGGTGGAGGGCTGATGGTTTGGGCTATTGCTGAAATTACCAAATTTAAGCCATCGTTTGAGGCCATTTAAACAATCTCAGTTTCAAAGACCTTGAACTGTAACAACTATTAAATATAACAGTTACCAGTCATTTTTTTCATTCAACCTTTATTTATACGGGCTTGCCACAGGAATTATTTGCAATAAGGAACATGTTCCAGACAGAACACACAGTATAAAGTACAGACAACAAAACAGTAGACAATGATTACAATAAACTACAGTTAAAAAAAAGAAGTCACTTTATGTCGTTTAAATTCTGATGTGTTTTTCATTGGGGAGATGCTGTTGTACATATAATTGCAAGAAACGTGTGCTTTGATTATATGTTACAAATGCCTGCCCTAAAAGTAACTGTCAGAGCTCTTGATCACGTGGTGCTGTGCCGCCATCGTTGCCAGATATACGACGATCATTGTGCTTACATACGTTTGTCTGCTACAGATTGTAGTACCAATCTTACCATTCCCCACCCCGGATGACCCTGACAGTGTTGTCTCCCCTCCTCCCCACGACCACCACTGAAAAACACGCTCCCCTCGCTGTTCATACAAAAAGTTTGGTGAAGATACGACTGGCGATGTACGTAGGACGCGCTCTTCTTATCTGGCAACCCGCGCTCAGCTGACGGCTTAGTGAAAAAGAGGAAAGAAGATGGAAGGAAACCGAGACGAAGCAGAAAAATGTATTAAAATAGCGACGAAGGCCCTCGAAGCCGGAGACAAACAGAAAGCTGTGAAGTTTCTCAGCAAAGCAGAGAAGTTGTATCCAACGGAGAGAGCCAAAGGTGAGCTGGAGCTGCCGTGAGTTAGCCCCCGGTGCTAACGTCCAGCTGATCCGTCATTAAATCAAGGAACAGCGGAGCTTCACAGCTGCTCGTCCAGACGGAAGCGGGAGAAAAATGGCTTTACTCAGTAGTTTGGTTTGCTAACGAGGGAGACATGAGCTGCCGTGACGGTAAATGTAGTCCAGTTAGCTAAGCTGAACGTTGGCCTGGCAGCTAACGGCTAACGGAGGCGAGCTAGTTTTTTAAACCGGTGTTCGTTTATATACATATATCTATATATCTATATATAATGAATATATAATGACAATAACCAGCTCAAATGTAAACGCCGTTAATTAAAGTAAGCCTCCGTTGATTTTAGGCCGAACGGTGTCCTAATCATTGCAACATGCTGTTCCTTCACTTGAGCAGTAAAATATGTAGCACAGGTCGACTCCTGGGGTCTGGAGGTTTAAGGAGGGATGTAGGTCGACTGTCGATCCTTTAATTGGATGAGTAATCAAAGTCTGCCCCGGATTCGAACAGCTCGCCCAAACCCACTGCGCTCCTTTCAACAACCTGTACGGCTGGGCTGGATCTGCGCATGCGCCGTTTCGTATTGGGTTGGGGGCTGTTTAAAGATTAATATCAATAATAACTTCCAAAAAAAGCAACATATCTCCTATATTTTCTTACTTTGATTCCACACTTTGAAAACGTTTGTCACAAAGTTTGTGGAAATTCAGCTGTGGGTTTTAAAGACATTTCAACTTTAACCCACTGCACCCAGTATCCACTGGTTAACTGGTCACCATTAACTTCACACAGACTCTCCCACTGGTACATCTTCATCTTTAAATCACTTCCTGGTCTGCTGCCTTCATACATCTCCTCCTACATGTCTCTGTGTGAGTGCAGCTACAGCGTGCGCTCTCAGGACATCATTACCTGCAGTGTTCCCTCAGTGAGGACTGAACTAGACAAAAGGACCTTCTCCTACTCCGCTCCTGTTTCCTGGAATATCTTGTAAAAAGATCTGATGCTCTCGACCTTTGACCTCTCTAAGTGGCTTCAAACATCTGTTCAGTTCCTGCAGATGTTCCTGTTTTTAGTTTTTATATCTCTTTATAATGTAGCGGGGGGGGGGGGGGGGTGTCTCGCTACTTTTCCTTTTGGTTGCCATTTTGTTTTGATTTGTAAAACAAAACAAAAAATGGAAGGAAATTTAAAATCGTATGCCTCTTTTGTGACTGTATTGTTGTTGTTGACTGTTGTCATGATTCTTGTTAAACCAGGTGTCTCTCGTAGATGAGTCCTCGAGGCTCAATGAGACTCACCTGTAGAAATAAAGCTTGAATGAACTTTAACACACAGCCTCAGGTCTGTGCTCCTTGGTATGAGTAAATCTTCTTTCAGCTTTTCCCTCTTCAGGGTCTCCACAGTGAGTCATCCTCCTCCATCTCTCTGTGTCCTCTGTCCTCACTCTGTCCTCTGTCCTCACTAATTGCCTCCATGTCCTCTCGAACTGCATCATATGTCTCATCTTTGTCTTTTTCCTGGCAGCTGCATTTCTAACATCCTTCTACCAATATACCCACTGTCCCTCCTCTGGACATGTCCAAACCACTGTCCCTCCTCTGG